TGAGCAAACTGAGACGTTTACCTCCTCGCATAACATTAACGCCAGCAAAATAGTTGACCGGTTCGCTATTGAACAGCCACTCGATAACAATGGGCATATCACCGGAAGAAATGAGGCAATTCACAGATACTGAGTCCTCGAAATTCGCAGGCTTATCCCCAAAATCAAATGGTACAATTTTTGGCGGTGCTGAATTGGTTAATAACAATAAAATTTCATTTAGTATTGGAAAAATATCTAATAAAAGTTGTAAGCACATACAATTTTTTTAAGAACAGCACGCCTGGGAAAATTTCTAGTATTACACAAATTTAAGTAAAAAATATTGCTCGCTGAATTAGATTATTCGTTTCAGCAGTCGTACAGCGCTCTTACAACTATGAATTCTGCAATGACACAATTTTTGCTTATGCTTTTATCAATTCAGCAAAAAGTATTTTTGATAAAATCTTGTAAGCGCATACAATTTCTTAGTCTTTTGGCTACAATTAAGCGCTTAGGCACAAAACAGCTCATATTCATCCGTTTCCAAAAAAAAAAAAATATATTGTCAGCACTTCCGTGTTTATGTCATTTGGATATGCATAGAACCAAAACCTAATTTTAAACTACCAAAAGCATTTTTTAAAGCAAATTCAGCGCGTTTAAACTAATAGAAAACAACATATACATAAGTGTACCATTCACAATTAATTGCGCAGTGTACTCTACCGCAGCTGCATCATTACGCGCCTTGCACGTATAATTGCCCGCATGACCAGCATGTACCGAGTCTATTGTCAAGAGACTAGCCTTTTTTCCACCCTACACAATAGAAACACCCGTATAGATATTAATTGGGTGACTATTGAAAAGCCAAGTGATATCCATTGGTAGGTCACCGAGGTAGATAAGGCAATTTACCGAAACTGATTCTTCGAAATTTACCGCATGATCGCCAAAGTCGAAATGTGCAATTTTTGGGGGAACTAAAAATGAGTTAAGAGGATGAGAGGAAGTAAAAAATTATAAACGATCGCATGTATCTCAAAGTATGTAATTAATGCAAAACACAGGTTAAGGCTTTATAAAGTTTAAATCTACTGATCATTTGCAAAAAAAAAAAAACAAAAGTACCATTCACCACCAATTCAGCGGTATAATTAACGGAGATTGCCTGATTGGCCGCAACGCACGTATAATTTCCGGCATGATGACCGCGCACATAATCGATCGAAAGCGCACTTATCTTTTTACCCAATTTCACCATGGAAACATCGTAGACATTATCATTGATTTGGCGTTCATTGAAGAGCCAAGCAAAACTCACGGGAAAATCACCAGAAGTTACCAAACACTGCACGCTAGCAGATTCGCCAAAATTTGATGGTTCCTCGCCGAAATCAAAGGGTGCAATTTTTGGTGGCACTTGAAAGCAGGAATGGAAAGGTGGGATTGAGGAAAATGGTTGAAAGAATGTAAAAACAGTTAAACAAAACTACATTTTTTATAAGCGTATGTTATTCAGCGCATTCCGCACCATTAACGCGCAATTCAGCGGTGTGATTAGCGCGCCCAGCGCGATTCTCAGCAATGCAGCTATAATTTCCGGTGTGTTTAGCGGATACAGACTCTATTGTAAGTTCGCTTATGCGTTTGCCACGTTTGGTTGTAATAATTTCGAGGTAATCCTCGAAAGGTTTATCATTTAAGGTCCATGTTATTCTCACCGGCAAATCACCGCCAGCTATGGTGCACTGTATGTTTACGAATTCACCAAAACTCATAGATTCTTCACTAAATGAGAATGGGCTGATTTTTGGTGGAGCTGACAAAAATATATCAAATTAAACATATTTTAAATATTTTTAGGTAAAGTAATTTAAAAAGTATATAGTTATGGAATTTCAAAGCCATAACGTCTATCGTAGTTAATTTATAACTTTTTGATTGAAATATTCTTACTGTTCCTACATTTCTTTTGCTAAAAAATAAATCAGGTTAATTCAGCGCACATGCTTTGCTAACTTTTTTTGAAACAAATATATTTTGTAGCGTAAAAGTCTTATTCAGCTCAATTCAGCAAACGTATTTCTCAAATAATGGCAGATTCAACGGTGGAGTGCTAAAAAAATAATTCAGCGCACGTATTTTGCTAACTTTTTTTTAAACAAATATATTTTGTAGCGTACAATTCATATTCAGCTCAATTCAGCAAATAATAGCATATTTAAAGCTATAGTGACGCGAATAATAACTCACTTCCCACACAGCTTCACACAAAGCTAAATTCAGCACACATAAAGTACCACACACACAGACCGAGAAAGAGTATTTGGTTGGGAAAAAATAAAATGTAAGAACTACAAAGCTCAACAATATCTAACTACCAAAGCCCACAACGCAATAATTTTTAATAATTTTTTTTACTGCCATAGATTCACACAAACCATTTACAATCAATTCAGCTGAATGCTCAGCTCTGCCCGCTGAATTGCTTGCTATGCAAGTATAATTGCCCGCATGTTTCGCCTCTATTGCGTCAATCATTAAATTGTGAATACGTTGACCACGTCTCTCCGTCAGAATCTCTAGTTCAGGCAGCAATGGGTGCCTATTCAAAGTCAATATTACCGAAACAGGTAAATCACCACCCGATATAGTGCAATGTACCGAAACGGGCTCACCGAAATTCATTGGTTCGGTGCCAAAGGAGAAGGGCGTAATTTTTGGTGGTACTCATACCAGGAACATCAGAAAAGGCCAAACAAATTAGAAAAAAAAGAAGAAACAAAAAAGAATTAATTTTTCAATATTCCTTTAACAAACCATTAACAATTAGTCGAGCGGTATGCGCGGTTATGCCCGCTTTTTTTGCTGCGTGACACGAATAAAAGCCTGCGTGATGTGCAGCCACAGATTCAATGGACAAAACATTAATACGTTTGCCGATACGCGAAAAGGATATATCATGGTATCTATCGATGGTGGCGTTATTCAGCAGCCAAGTAACATTGATGGGTAGATCGCCGCCGAGTATGGTGCATTGTATGGACGCTGGCTCACCATAGTTGAGCGGTTCCTCGCCAAAATCGAAGGGTGCGATTTTCGGTGCAACTTTTTGTAGGAGAAATTTTTAGCAAGAGAATATTTTTTAGAAGCACAGCAACAAAAGTTCATTGCTTGCAAGTATTATGTAGTAAGACAGGGAAAAACATGAACTAAATATACACGACTGTGATTCAGCTCAGGCGTAAGTCGCGCAATTGTAGCAAAAAATATATAAATCCTATAAATTAATAGCAGCAACCGCGCTGAATAAACGCTTACATAATTCAGCGTGGACTTAACAGATTTTTACACATCTTTAGCGCTTCGTAAAAATTTAATGGGGATTTATGTAGGTAGATTGAAATAAAAACATTCGAAAAACAAACTAAAATAATGACTTCAGTAGTTACATTATTTACGCCAAACATTATTTATCTGTATATCAAAAACCATTCACGATCAAACGCGCTGCATGCTCTGTAATGCCAGCTTTATTATGAGCGCGACATGAATACCTGCCCGTATGATGTGCCGCGACTGCCTCTATTGTCAGCACATTTACACGCTTGCCAATACGCGATAGTGAAATATCATGAAAACTATCAATGGCTGCATTATTCAGCAACCATGTAACCTTTATAGGTAAATCACCGCCGAGTATGGTGCATTGTATAGAGGCTGGTTCACCGTAATTCAGCGGTTCCTCGCCGAAGTCGAATGGTGCAATTTTCGGCGCAACTTTTTTTGTCAAAAGGATGTTGAAACAAATTTATATATTGAAAAGTTTATATAAATCAAAAGTAGTTGGTTTTTGTAAGAATACTAAACATTAAAGAATGAATTTAAAAATAATGAAAATTACATAGATCAACAAAGCTGCGCTGAATGTGGTTAAATGCAATTCAGCGCCCGTTACTTCGACAAAATCGAAGAAACGGCAGTTCTTGTAAAAAAATGGGATGATGAAACAAACTTATAATTGCAAAAATCATAAATATGAAAGTCAAATAGTTTATTTTTTGTAAGCTCAGTACTCTATGCACAAAGACTTTCCTAAAAGATGATAAGTAAATAAAAAAGCAGCGCTGAATGTGGTTAAGCGTAATTCAGCGCGCTTTCAAAATCAGCGAAAATTAAATTTTGTTTGTTTTATAAAAATAAATACGAAAACAATTCTGGTAATGTTCAATTCAGCCCATTTTTTTAATTCAGCACATTTTTTGTGAATTCAGCAACTTTTTTTATGAATTCTGCCCAAGTTTTATGCAATGAACGACATTTAATAGCGAGATGGGATCGGGATATACAAAGGTTTAAATTGCAATAAAAATCAAATAACTAACAACTTCATATAATCACAAATTCTGTTCAAACCATTCACAATCAAAGGTGCCGTATATTCAGCTCTTCCCGCCCAATTTTCGGCGACGCAAGTGTAATTCCCAGCATGATCCGCTGTGACACTCTCTATAGCCAAGACGTGTGTATGTCTAGTGAATTTTGTAGTTGCTATATTCAAGTGAGCTGGCAGATGATAATCATTCAGCAACCATTTCACATTCATAGGCCAGTCACCACCAGCGATGGTGCATTGTATGGACGCAGGTTCACCGAAATTTAAGGGTTCCTCACCAAATTGAAACGGGGTTATACGAGGCGGTACTAGATAAAAATTTGTATTGAGTGGAGCAAATAAGACGTGTGTGCTATATTTCAAGAACAGTATCTTAAAATATTTGTTAGACAAGTTCAGTAGAAAGTGTAGAAGTAGCGAATGTTGCTTTTGTCAGATTTTTGTTAAAATATTACCAAATACAGTGAGTCAAAATAGGCGTAGAGTTTTTAGTATTTACAAACACCGCAACCGAACCCAAATAGATTAGACACAAACAGTTAGATTCAAAAGCTGCTAGTAAGACATTCAATATTTTTTTTTTGTGTTGTGTAAGAATTCAAAAATTTTCATATACCATTCACGGTAATATTTGTGCTGTAGATCGTTGAGCCAGCCGCATTACTGGCCATACAAGTATATGTGCCAGTGTGCGCAGGCGTGGCGCGTGGTATCGATAACACGCTCGATTTGATGCTTATGCGATTTGTACGCATTATCGGCTGTAGACTGTCGTAGCGCGCATCGCCAGCAGCGCGTTCAAAACTCCAGTTAATCTTGATGGGGCGATCACCTTTTTGTATTTGGCAAAGCAAATCAATAGCGTCGCCAGTGTTGATTATGTCGTCGTAACTGAAGGGTGTGATTTGCGGAAGGACTAAAGAAGTGATTTTGATATTGAAGTTGAAACGGTTTAAGTGCGCGTTATAGGAATATCTACAAATTATGATATATATATAAAGGGAGATACAATGTTATAAAATCATATAAATCGATGATAAATGAGAAATCGAACACTATTCAGCGCTATTGAACTCAATTCAGCGCGGGAATTTTCCAGTTAAAAACATTATTATAAGGCTGAAACTTATTTGACAACATTCAGCGCCATTCAGCACAATTCAGCCTATTTCAACATTAATTGATTTACCATCTACGTCGATTTATAACAATTTGCTGGAACTCGTTCACTTTCAGCCATATTCATCGGCTAAATAAACCATATATATTGATTTAAAATTGAATTTGGTGCCTCGGAAGCATGCTGGACAACATAAAATGTACAACAACTAAAAAAAAACAGTTTTCAAAATACATAGAGAGCTTAAAAAAAGTAAGTCTTTCGATTTTTTGCCAAACAAATACCATTAACCAACAACTCAGCCGTGTAATCACTCTGTCCCGCTTTATTGCTTGCAACGCATGTATAATTTCCTGAATTCGCCGCCTTCACCGACTCCACTGTCAATAAACTAATGCGATCACCAATCTTACTCGCCAACACACCCATATGCGAAAACAATGGCAACCCATTATGGGACCAACGTATTTTTAGCGGCAAATCACCTTTCGCCACATGACAAGTGAGTTGTACGCTGTCTCCTTCATTTGCTTCAGCGTCGAAGTTGAAAGGATGTATAGCGGGAAGTACTACATACATACATAGTAAGACCAGGGCGATGGGTTGGAAAGCCCGATAAGCGATAGTGAAAAAGCGGAGGATAGAAATAAATAGTGTAGTTTTTACATACATACAAATAAAACTTAAGAAATCAGCAGAGCACGTGTTAGTAGACCTAAGAAATACTTCGTTAAAACTATTAGAAACTTTTTTTCACATTAACCGTTAACTTGCAATTCCGCCTGATAGGAACTTTCGCCTGCGCGATTCGTTGCGATACACGCGTAAACGCCACGATGTTCAGCGGCTATGTAATCGATATTTAAAGTACTCGACTTCGTCGACATACGACCAATTATAATATCGTAATCGCTACTTTTTAGCGTCTGATTATTCAGCGTCCAAGTTATGTTTATGGGTAGATCACCTTTAGTAACCGAACATTGTACACCCAGAGAATCACCCGAATTGGTGGCTTCGTCACCAAATGAGAAAGGCATAATTTGTGGTGGCACTGTGTGTCGAGAAAGGAAAGATGATGGGTTTAAATGGCAGAGGAATTGTGTTGGAAATAAAAATATACAAAAAAAAATCAACTAATACACTAACTAATACAGCTACAATTCAGCGCGCCCACCATTCACTACAAGTTCAGCTATTTGTTCAGCGGTGCCTGCGGCATTAGACGCAATGCATTTGTAGGTGCCACGATGATGTCCATTAATAGCATCGATGCTTAGCGAACTTAATTTCGGAGACATTTTGATAATGCGTATGCCAGCGTGTTCGTTCGTAATCAGTTGTCCATTCAGCGTCCAATGGAGCTGCAGCGGTGTGTCGCCTTTGAATACCATACACTGTGCAGCAGTGCTGTCGCCGTAGTTGGAGGGTTCATCACCAAAGGTGAAAGGCATCACTTGTGGAGAGACTAGAATACACAATTCGGGTGTCAAATGTGCTGAATCGGAACTGAGTGCGTGCAGCGACAGAATTTTTAAACTTTTTTATAACTATAAATGCTCTAGAGATGTAAGTTGCTTAGTTATAGAACTTTAGATATTTTTTCTATCACAAAAATGTTTATTCAGCTAATTCAGCGCTGATTTTAACACCAAGTAGCACTGTTTTGAATACCAGGCCGCATTAAAAATGGCAAAACAGTAAATATTTATTATTTCTCAACACATTTTTCACATTCAGCACACATTTTGGTGTATTCTGTGGCACTACTTAAGCGAATTTGGCAAATGTGTGCACAGCAATTGCAAAGCTTAACAACTTAATACTACAAAATCTGCGCAAAGCATATTCAGCGTATGCACAAAACTACAAATAACTACTGCAAGCGACTTTTCGACATCAAACAAACCGTTGACTTGTAATTCAGCTACATATTCACTAGTGCCGGCCTCATTTGTTGCGATACATTTGTAGGTGCCACGATGTATTGCAGTAAGCGAGTCGATATTAAGCGAACTGGTACGCTTGTTTAGTCTCAAAACAGTAAAACCATTTTCTCCATTCACAATAGGCGCTGAATTCAAGGACCAGCGTATTTTGAGCGGCAAATCGCCCTTGGGTACAACGCAATTGGCACTCGCAATTTCACCCATATCAGCAGTATCCTCACCAAAGGAAAACGGTAAAACTTGTGGTGGCACTTCATTTTTAGGAGACAAAATATATTTTAAAATAATAGAAAACTACAGAAAATAAACATAAAACCAATTCAGCTACAAATTCAGCGTTTTAAATACATTTATATTTATATTTGTTTGCCTGCACAAACCATTAACATGCAATTCAGCGCTATATTCAGCGCTGCCCGCCTTATTCAATGCAATGCATTTGTATACACCGCGATGACGCGCTTCCAGCGAATCGATATTCAGCGAACTAGTGCGTGGATTCATGCGCGACAGTGTAAACCCATGTTCGCCTGTTATGATAGGCGCTGAATTTAAGGTCCAACGTATTTCCATGGGTAAGTCACCTTTTGGTATCATACAAAACACGCCAGCAATCTCGCCAGTATTCGCTGGCTCCTCACCAAAGTCGAAGGGTTGTATTTGAGGTGGTACTTGTGGATGATTTAAGAATAACGGAAACGAGGGAATGAATGTGGTAGAATATAAAATAAAAACGAACTTAAATGTAACAGCAACCGATACTTCCATGAGATATTTGAAAAAGTTAGTTAAACAAACCGTTCACTTCTAAAACAGCAACATATTCAGCAAAACCCGCTGAATTGTTCGCTAAACACTTGTAAGTGCCACGATGCATTGCCTCGAGTGAGTCTACATTCAGCGAACTTGTACGCTTATTCATTTTGAATATGTTAAAACCATGTTCACCATTTACAATCAATGCTGAATTCAGTGTCCAGTAGATATCGAGCGGTAAATCACCTTTGGGTACAACACAGGTGACACTCGCAACCTCGCCGCGATTAAGTGGGTCTTCGCCGAAGCTGAATGGACTAATCTGAGGTGCAACTAAGGAAATAAAGGTAGGCACAAAATCGAATTCAGCACAGCTGATTAGCTTTCTCAATAAATATTAGTTTTTATCACTATTGGGTTATAATTTAAGGCGAAATAATTTCAAAATCCAATAAATTTGTTGAACAGTTTTAAGAAAATGTGAAGAGAACAATAAACTAAAAAAGTTTCAGCTAGTCAGCCTAATTCAACTTTATTCAGCGCCAGTTTTTGCAGTTCGTAAAAGTATCTACAACCAAACTAGCACTTACTTCACATTTTTAATATCAGCCCAAAGCTATTCAGCTCAATTCAGCGTAATTCAGCAACGAGTTTAAGCACGCCATCTTAACACAGGCAAAAAATAAATAAAGAAAACTGCTATACCAACACCAAATATGTTCTTAAATTCAGCATATCTAGGAGCCAATTCTGTGCAATATGGAGCAAAATTTAACAGCGAAAAAAAGAGAGTATACCGTTTTGCTTAAATGTTTATAGTTTTTGTTAGTACATGAACACTAACTATTTACAGAGACTCAAACTTCTACTCGACGCACCATTAACCTGCAATTCAGCAGCATATTCAGCAAGTCCAGCTAAATTCACTGCTATGCAACTATAAGTGCCACGATGTTTTGCCTCTAAGGAGTCTACGCTTAAGTAGCTGGTGCGATGATTCAATTGCAATATCTTAAAACCGTCACTGCCTGAAGCAATCGGTTCATCATTGAGCGTCCAGTGAATATCCAGCGGTAAATCGCCTTTTAAGATCATACATGTAGCGCTTATCATATCGCCCATATTAACAACTTCAGCGGGAAAACTAAACGGTAATACGTGCGGAGGAACTAAGCGAAAAAAATTAAACATAGCGCTTGTCGGTAAGGAATCAATGGAATTGAAATTAAAAGTTAACAAATGAAATTCTCTAAAATAATTGTAAGCACTTATTCAGCACAAACCATTAACATGTAATTCTGCTGAATATTCCGTAAACCCGGCTTTATTATTAGCTATACACTTATAAACACCACGATGTTTCGCCTCTAGCAAATTAATGCTCAAAGAACTGGTGCGTGGATTCGTGCGCATTAACGTAAAACCCTCCTCGCCATTTATAATGGGTGCTGAATTGATAGTCCAGCGTATATTTAGCGGTAAATCACCCTTAGTAACCATACATTGTACACCAGCCATTTCACCAAAATTTAAAGCCTCGTCACCAAAGCTGAATTGCATTATTTGAGGAGGAACTGGTGTTGGGGAGAAATTATAGGCGTTAAAAATAATTTATGCGAAAATGTTGAATAAGGTGAGGGAAATGAAAAAAAATTGAACGAAACAAATGAAACTTGTGTATTCATTTAGTGAAATTTAAAAAAAAAAAATATGTTCACCGATGTACCATTGACATTTAATTCGGAGGCGTAAAACGATGATCCCGCCTTATTTTCGGCGATGCATTTAAAAAGTCCACGATGGTATTGCTCAACGGCGGCGATATTCAGCACACTTGTTTTCGGTGAAAGCTTCAAAATTGTTATCCCCTCTTCACCATTGATGATGGGTCTGGAGTTGAGCGTCCATTTAATCGTAATGGGTGTATCACCCTTTTGTATCATACATTGTACGCCAGCATTCTCACCGTTATTTATGGGCTCATCGCCGAAAGAAAAAGGCATAATGGAAGGGGGCACTGGTGAGGGTAAACAAATTTAAGATGAAACAGAAGCAAAAAATAAAAAATAAAGTAATTCTAAACGCGAGCAAATTCCTTAGAAAACTAGTCCCCCATAAATGTAGTACCGTTAACTTTTAACTCTGCGACATAAAAGTCAGCGCCAGCCTTATTTTCAGCGATGCATTTGAAGAGGCCACGATGTTGTTCCTCCACGGCGGCAATATTTAAAACACTGCTTTTCGGCGATAACTTAAGTATAGCGAGACCCTCTTCGCCGTTGATGATGGGTCTCGAGTTGAGAGTCCATTTAATGGTAATGGGTACATCACCTTTTTGTATCATACACTGTACGCCAGCGCTTTCGCCAGTGTTCACCGGTTCCTCAGCAAAGGAAAAGGGGACAATGGAGGGAGGAACTGATGGAGAGGAAAAACGATTTTTTATAGAAAGAAAAACTATTTCGTAATCGAAATTTTTTACACTATAAATTTTCGCCTAAAAATTAACCCCTTATTAACTACCATTAACACGCAACCACGACGCATGTTCTACAATTCCAGCAGCATTGCTGGCCACACAGCTGTAGTTGCCCGCATGACGCGATCTCACCGATTCTATATTCAACATACTAATACGTTGACCGCTACGCGTAATCATCAAACCATCGTTGGAGCCGAAGAGGCGAAATCCGTTAAAGCGCCAAAATATATCCAAGGGTAGATCACCTTTGGTGACAGCGCAATTAACGGTGGCCATATCTTGCGCATTGACCGGTTCGCCAAAATCGAAGGGCAAAATTTGTGGTAGGACTGTGAACCGGTGGAGGAAAGGAAACATTTTTAAGTATTTACACTACAACCAAAACGAAAACAACTAGAATTCACAATATGCTAAGCTATAACAAATAAATGCTGTATGCTTAACCATTAACGGCCAGCAACGCTGACTGTTTGGTTACGCCGCCATTATTTGTCGCAACGCAGCTATAATTGCCCGCATGACGCGCGCGTACCGATTCAATGCTGAGCACGCTGATGCGCTGACTAGTGCGTGTAACCACCAACACCATCGTTGGTGAAGACACGTCCGCCATTGCGCGTCCAGTAGATGTCGAGTGGCAGGTCGCCCTTTTTGACGCTGCAGTAGGCGGAAACCATATCCATTTCATTGATACTCTCATCACCGAAATCGAAGGGCAATATTTGTGGGAGGACTACATAGGCAAGGAAGAGTAAGTGAGGCGGCAAGAAAATAACGAGAAATATTTTTTCAAAATAGAAAATTTTTTAAAAAGCTCAAAGAGTACGAAATAAATTAAAATTTTCAGTTTTTTTAACCATTCACGGCCAACAGCGCGTACTGCTTGGTCGCGCCGCCATTATTTGTCGCCACGCAGCTATAATTGCCCGAATGGCGCGCGCGTACCGACTCAATGCTGAGCACGCTGATGCGCTGACTGTTGCGCGTGACTACGACGCCATCATTGGTGAAGACGCGCCCACCATTGCGCGTCCAGTAGATGTCGAGCGGTACATCACCTTTATTCACAGTGCAATAGGCTGAGACCATATCCATTTCATTGATATTTTCGGCGCCGAAATCGAAGGGTAGGATTTGTGGTAGGACTGCATTTGGGAAGGAGTTTAAAATATAAATGCGTTAAAAGTGACAAAGCAATAGCAGAAAAATACGCAATATTTAAAAATCGTTCTTTATCTACAACTTTTGCCCGCTAACCATTCACCGCCAAAGTGGCGGATTGTCGCGAAGCGCCTGCATTGTTAGTTGCAACACAGCTGTAGTTGCCCGCATGCCGCGCGCGCACCGATTCGACGCTCAAAACACTTAAACGCTGGCTGTTGCGCGTGACAATCAAACCATCATTCGTATAGACCCGTCCGCCATTTTTCATCCAGTAAATGTCGATAGGCAGATCCCCTTTGTTCACGGTGCAAGAAGCAGAAACCATATCCTGTTCGTTGATGCGCTCTTCGCCAAAATCGAAGGGTACTATTTGTGGCAGAACTGCAGGTGTGGAGGGGAGGACATGTGAGCGCACGGTAAAAGGAACGCAACTGAGTTAAAAAATAGCGAAATAAATAAAAAATGTCGACAGTAAACAAAACAAAAACTCAAACTAAAGCGCCCCAAAAACGCAGCTAACCATTAACTGCTAGCACCGCCCAATGCGTTGTTACGCCCCCATTATTTGTCGCCACACAGCTGTAATTGCCTGCATGACGCGCGCGCACCGATTCGATGCTTAAGACGCTCATGCGCTGACTAGTTTTTGTAACGACAACACCATCATTCGTGTACACGCGTCCGCCGTTCTTAGTCCAAGCGACATCTATCGGCAGATCGCCTTTATTCACCGTACAGGAGGCAGATACCATATCTAGTTCGTTGACGCTTGCCTCACCAAAGTCGAAGGGCACAATTTGTGGAAGAACTTAATGAGATCAAGTGGAATGAATTATAAAAATATCGAAGCAACTGTGTAAAACTAGCGATATTTGAATTATTTTATATTGTTACGAGGACCTTGGAGTGGAGTTTTGCGATTTAAAAATCAGGCATTTCACTGACTAAAAAGGTTTCGGGAGCTCAAATTAGCAAAGTAACCCAAAATTCGTAAAAACCAAAATTTGAAGCTACTCTATGGCTCTATATACGCGCACACCATTAACACTCAGCTCAGCAGTGTGATAGGCCACGCCCGCTGCATTACGCGCTACACAGGTATAATTCGCACGATGACGCGCATGCACCGACTCGATGCTCAACATACTGATCCGCTGCGTCGTTTTCGTTATCAATATGCCATCGTTGGTCATTAATTTGCCCAAGCCGCCCAGTTTGGGATCCGGTGCCGTAGTCCAATACAAATCGATCGGTGTATCGCCTTTATTGACAGTGCATGTAGCCGAGACCATGTCGTTCATGTTGATCGCTTCTGAGCCGAAATCGAAAGGCGCAATTTGTGGTGGTACTACATAATTATAAGATGGAGTGAAAAAGGGTTTACCAGAGTACTATTTCGGATGTACACCTCGAGTAACAGAAAAATTGCGACCCACGTTGATACTCGTACACTGCGAGTATTTTACCTAATATTCTTTATAACACAAAAAAAAGAACCGAGTGAGCGTCGGCACGAAGCATTTTTCAACGGACGGGGATCTATGAACTTGTAACTAGTTCTTTCGCAGCGGACAGACTTTGATACATGCTTCGTTATTTCAACTCACGCCCGGTTTGTGTTTCAATTGGTAAGACAGTTCAGCCCCCTCTCTTCAACAAGGGAGTATGAACAATAGCGTGCATATGAGACTTACCCATAACTTGTACTTCTAGTGAGCCGCGCGCCGAATAACCTTCCACATTCTTAGCCACGCAAGTGTATGTAGCTTGATCAGAGTTACGTTCCACATTTTCGATGATCAAAGTGCCGTTTGGGAAGACCTTTTGTTTGCGATTGATGGGTAAAGCGCGATTGTCTGCCAAAAAAAATTTAGAATGTATAAGCATTCAGTAAATTAAAAAATATCTAGCCAACATCTCTAGTTAATCTCTACTACACCAAATACACACTCTACTTACCACGTTCCCAAACGATCGAGTCGATTGGATAGCCCGCAACTGGACAGGTTACAATCAGCGTCTCGCCGGCGACAATAGCTTTCTTTTCCATTTGTCGTATATAGGGCAGTCCATAGACATTCAATTTCGCCGAGTGTTCGGCCACGCCTACTTTGCTCTTTGCAATACACTTGTAGAGACCGCCATCGTTCGCATGCACTGATGTAATATTCAAATACGAAACAACATCGCCGTTCACAGTCACATATTGGCCCACTTGATACCGATCAATATTTGCAATTTTCTTGCCATCCAGTTCCCAGGAAATTTCAGGTGTTGGATTGCCGCCAGCTACACACTTTAGGAATACACTTGGACCAGGTTCCATTGTTTCCTCTTGGAATGCCTGTCGTATAACGGGTGGATCGAAACGGCCGCCAAGTTTGAGTTCAGCGCTTGCTTCTGCTGATTCCTGATCGTTGCGCACGAAACACTGATACATGCCCTTGTCTTCCTTCTTCACGGATTCGATGCGTAAGACCTGATCGCTGTGGCCAATTGATTTGCCGTCTTTTATCCAGCTGATGGTCTTAATAGGGTTGCCGCTGTACTGGCACGTGAAGACAGCAGGACGTCCAAAGTCGACAGTTTGTGTGGGTGGATCGATTTTTGCGGAAAGTGGTGCGGTCACGGTGAGCACAGTTTCAACGCTTTCACCACCGACGGAGTTATTAACCACACATAAATATTTGCCCGAATCCTCGACGACAGCATCTTTGATGATAAGAGTGCCGGAAACTTGCTTTACGCGTTCATTTAGGATAACCGCTTGCTTGCGTGTGGTGCCTTCGATGAATTTATACCATCTGCAAGGGATAAGGGAAGTGATTAGCTGAGTTATTTATTGCTAAGGGTGGAATACAAAGATGATTAAAAATGAAGAAATGAAATGCTTGTCGGTGAGCAAACTAAACCTTTTGTATGCGCTCCGAATGAGATTGCGGAAAGAAGGGCTTCAATAAAATTTGTGAAAGCAGTGCTCAGCTAGTTACTTACCTTTCGAGCCGGCAGTTTTGGTTGAAATAGCATTTCATTTCTGCGCTTTTAATCAACTTTGTTCGAAAATTTGCTTTAAGTAGCATCGACAGAACCTAGTACGACCTAACAAAAAGGAATAAAGGTTACAAATGGCGGATATTTCAGCAATCAAGGAGACTATTATTAAAAAGCTTGCAGGTGCAGCTTTTCAGGGAACGCTTAGCTCTAAGTGGATTTTTAGAAGCCTGTAGTGATACAATTTGTCCAGCAAGAAGCAAATGTAGAGATGGGAGCTTTTACATTATGAAAACTGAAGTTACAGAAGTTTAAAAATTTAAAGGAATATTTAAATGTAGACTTTTTGAAAAAGTGCTGCTTTTAACGGGTTTCAAAAAGCTTGTGACACTGGCTAAAAAGCGAGCAGATAATTCGATTTATGAATGCTGATATTGGTTAAATTTAAATATGAGTTTTTGTTTTCTGAAAGCTATGCTTTGGGTAGGTTTCATGGAGCTTGTAGCGCGGTCTGACCTAAAACCGACGGTAAAACTTTAGGCTCACATCAGCTATCCAATCCAAAATAATGCTTACTGTTTCATCATTGAGACAGAAAATACAACGCCAGTGCACCTAGAACTTTTAGAGTATTTTTTTCTTTGCTTTTTATTTCTTATACCTATAAACTGGTACAGGATAGCCTTGACCAGGACAATGGCCGACAAAAGTGTCTTGCCTAGGCACTTCATTGATTTCGATACTTTTGACTGCTATACGAGGCTTTACATGGCCCACGGGTTCTATAAAAATTAGCATTAGAAATAGTGAAAGCAAAATATGGTGTAAAACAACCATTCAACTGCCTGAATGTTTAAAATTAAGCCAATATATACCTGAATAATGGCATTGGATATGCTTGCGCCTGACAAAGTATGGAAAAACTGTCACCTAAACGCATTGTAAGTTCTTGCAGACGATCTCCAGAAACGGTCGGAGTTGCGCTGCTAATAGGTTCTAAGAAGAAATTATATATACATATATATTTTGTTTGGAAATACCATCGAAAACTTTTATGAAAAACTGTCTGAATATTTAAAGTGTTTGCAAAAATAAACCGGTTTGGCAGAATTTTGCACGAGAAGTCCTACATTATTTTCTTTTATTGTTCTTTTACCGAAAACCGGGCGTTGGATACGACTGTCCTTGGCAAAGCATGGTAAGACTAACACCAGCTTGTGTAATTACTTCTTGCAGACGACCTCCTGAAATTTTCGGTGCAACACTGCCGACAGGTTCTGGGAGAAGAAGTTCACTTTTAAAATGTGATTCAACAGTCTTTTGGGGGAAAACTACCTGAAAGTTTTGGATTTCTATGCATACATATATAAGCTTTTGAAAGTTATTTGATAGTTTTCGAAAATCCGCTTTGAGCTTTTAAAGCTCATGCTTCAACTTTACTCCAAAACTAACCTTATTATCGGCACTGGAAAAGCTTGCGCTTGACACAATAAAGCAAAACTATGGCCAATTTCTTTGACAAATGTAAAGCTTTTGGATTTATCGGAGAATGTGGGAGCCTTGGCGCCTACTGGCTCTGTAAATAGCATAAAAATTCAATAATTTTGAATTTAAAAATAAAAAATCTCAGTTGGGAAACTTAACTTAATGTACACAAGTTTAATAATTTAAATAAGTGAAATCTCACTAAATTTTTTTAATTATCTACCTTATAACTGGCACTGGCCATGCTTGAGCTTGGCACAACAAAGCAAAGCTTTGACCAAAGTTGCGTGAAAATGTGAAGCTTTTCAAATCATTCGAAAATGTTGGAGCTTTTGCGCCAACGGGCTCTAAAAAAATATAAAAAAATAAGTTTTAATTTTTTACACTTAAAATTTTACAGAACCAGTTAGCAGTGTCGCGCACCATTTTCAATAACAATACAAAAAATAGATACCTTATAATCGGCACTGGAAAAGCTTGCGCTTGACAGAGGATTGCAAAGCTTTGTCCCACAGTGCGTATATAGGAGAAAACATTTGAGTCAGTAGAGAATGTTGGGGCTTTAGCGCCGACGGGTTCTACAAAAATTAAATAAAAAACTCATGTGAAAAACTAAAGCTTCGCTCAAATTTGCCTCCAAGTGCATATGAATACTGCTTAGAATATTGGGAAAACAATCAAAAACAATATCTATACCTAAATACAGGCACCGGATAGGCTTGAGCTTGACACAGGAGCACTAAATCTTTTCTTTGTGCTTCCACAAAAGTGCTACTCTTCGCTGAGCCGGGGAAAGCGGGCCCTTTGGCACCGAGTGGTTCTTTGAAAATGGCAGACAGAAAGTGTAAGTTAAAAATAAGCATGTAAAAAAGCACAAAAACTGCCTGAAAAAAAACATTAAACGCAACTTTATATACAGGCATTCGAGAAGCTTTTAAGTAACGCCTTAAAAAACTTTAAACCAGCGATGGCCAGAGAGAGCTTTTACCCTGCTCGCGCCTATACAAAATGTGCCTTGCCCGCGAGCAAGGCTATGCCCATCAGTGCTTTAAACTCATACAAGAAACTATTTAGTTAAATTTCAAAAAGCTTTGAATTATTTTAGCTTTCACCAGCAAATTTAAACCGTATTTTAGCTACAGGCTCTCACTTAAAGCTCAGTTAGTCTAGACTTAACTTAATTGAACTTACCGTATGAAATCATCAATAATTACTCAACACGTCAACTTAAGCCAAAAGCGGACCTAATTTGTTTCTGTATTTTCTTTTTCAGCTGTTTACCAGTCCACCGCCTAAAATGCCACATCAAAAAAATGCATGCAAACAAAAATGTTTGCGTTCATTTATTTTTAAGAAATACAAAAACGAGAGTCTGGCAAGCCTTATTCTCTCACCGCTCTCAATTTTCGTAAGGCCGTAACTTAAGAACCTAAAATTTACAGGTTCTTAAGTTTCTTACAGTAAGTTAAGTTTTAACTAACCGCCAACACAGTTTCTCATATAACAGGTTGACCAAAATATTAAGTTGAATTAAGTTACGGAAATTAAGGCTAGAATAACTGAGCTTTTAGCTTAAAGACTGTTGCAGCCGAATTTCAATAAAATTATAGTTTAAAAAACTAAAACCTCCCTATTATAATTGCCATTCGTACTGTCATCAGGTATGTAACTTGAAAATAGAAATCGCTGCATCTTTTAGGCGCATCAATATTACATAGTTTCATCCCGAGCTAATAAAAGGAATGTAAAAAGCTTTTACTTTTAATCAACAATTTTTCACTCAGTTTCTTAAACCTCTTACCTAAATATTGGCACTGGATATGCTTGAGCTTGACATAAAAGCACAAGATCTTTGCCTTGCTTCTCAATAAATGTGCCACTTTTCAATGCGGTTGGGAAGGCTGGAGCTTTTGCACCAAGTGGTTCTTTGGAAATAAATTGACATTTGAAATTATTTAGTTTAAATAAAAAACGCTTGAGCTTGACACAAAAGCACTATGTCACCCAAGCTTTTACCCATAAGCGTGCTTATTTTTGAAACGGTCGGGAATGTGGGAGCTTTAGCGCCAACGGGTTCTACGAAAGTGTGGAAACATATGAGCAGCAGCTACAAAATGTGGAAAACTTACGTCTATATAATATTGAAAACTGACTGAATTTATTTCGATTTATACATAAGAAGCTTTTGCATATAAGAGCTATTGGTTTCAAATAGTTTACTTTCAATTCCTACCTGATAATAGGCACTGGAAATGCTTGAGCTTGACAAAGCAGCGCAAAGCTTTGGCCTACAGCGCGTGTATATGAGAATGAGCTTGAATCGGTGGAGAATGTGGGAGCTTTGGCGCCTACAGGTTCTAAAGCGAAAATATTGAAATTTAAAAAAAATATATTTGCTTATTCAAAAAGAAAAGCTGCCCAAATGTGTGTCATTTTTATAAAATGATATTCTTATAAATTGATTTTGTACAAATCAAGTTTATTTTCCATGATAAAAGCGCTTAATCTATTAACAAAAATTACCTTATAATTGGCACCGGAAAAGCTTGTGCTTGGCACAAAAGCGCAAAGCTTGAATTTACAGAGCGTTCAAAAATGCTACCTTTAGAATCAGTTGAAAATGTTGGTGCCTTAGCGCCGACAGGTTCTGAAGTTGGAAAAAGATTAACATATGTACGTATGGTATGTACGTGCGATTTTTTTTTTTATTTAAAGAAAAATAATAATTTACAAAACCGGTTGGCAGATGCGTAGCTGGAGTTAAATGAGGGAAAACATTCAAACTTGTCTCGTCTAGACCAAATTTTTTCAGAAATCTTGCAATATAAAACCCAAAGCATGACGCGTGCAGAGCTTTTTAAGCTTTCTATACTGCTTCATATGCCCTTTACTTGCTGGTCTACAGCATATTACATACCCTTTTCTGACCTCGGTCAAAACCGAAATACAGCTTCCAAAGTTTATGATATCGAAAACGAACTTCAGACTTCAAAATAGTTCAGGACTAAAACGGTATTGACCAGAAAGGGCTTTTAGCCTGAATTCTAAATCAATCGAAATCACCTTAAATTATATTTCGATTATGACTAGAGAACAGGGAATACCCAATTATTTACTTTCATTGCCCTACGTCGACTTTGTAAGAGAGGCTTCCCCAACAAATCTTTGCTGAGTGAATAATTAAAGTTTTCTCTGCGCTACATGACCCTATATCAAATAGTTTGAAGATCCTGAGCTTTAAACGACCGGTTTTTCATAGTTAAAAAATATATAAATTTTTCCGAAAACATAATTTCATTTCCGAAACTCCATTCTTTCTCGGCAAAAG